ACTTTCACATTCATACAACTCTATGCACAAAGGTCGGAAGGTCTTTAAATCTTGTAATGTAAGCCTAGGGTATAGGGTAGGATAAATGTAGGAAAATGTGAGAGAAAAGACATGCTTAAGGGAGCCATATCCTAACAAAACCCAAGGTCAAGAACAAGTAATGACCAAACCATCTCCAATCACAACTTAACTCCACAAAAGTTCACCAAACAATCCCATAAATAACAACAATCCCAACACTTACACATTCACTCACGAAATATAATAATAAAGTATTAGAGTGAATTAAACAAACTTTAAACGCATTCTTTTTCTTTCTTTTTTTTCAAACTTGAACTTTTTTTTTCATGAATTTTTTCTTTTTTTCTTGAGCAACCTTCACATAGAACATTTGAACATCTAAAACAATTTTTTTTTCTTTGCTCTATTTTTTTCTTTTATCTCACATTGGAAATTTCAACTTTGAAACACGAACTATCAACATTTTTCCAATCACTATATCAAAATTAAAGAACAATCACTCTTCTTTTATTCCCACATTGTGCAAGTAAAGTGAACATCAAAATTCCCTCACCTCACCAACTAATAGCTCCCCCAAGCCAAGCTTGGGACTAGTAACCAATGGGGCTCATATAGGCTTGTAATGTGGCTAAATAATCAATAAAAAGGGCACAAGCAACAACATGGGTAGCAAGAAGGGAAAAAATGTATCTAATATAGTCTGAAGGCTACCTAAAAGAACAAATGCCTTCATCCTCCTCAATGTGCAAAATTGACGCATGTTTAGGCATCCAAACAATTAAGCTTTAAATCATGATCAACAAATTTACAATGCTCATTATCATATACCAAGAATCAAAAAATATTTTTCAAGTATGGGACACAGGAAAGCATGATTTACAATTCATTGGAACGTATTTTTTGATTTTTTATAGTTCAATTTTTTTGTATTTTTCAATTAGGAAAGCAATGAAAACTACACTAGAAAGCAATTAAATCTGTACTAGAAAGCGATAAATAGATAAAGAGAGAAAGAGTTACCATATGTACAAGATATCTTCCCCTAAGCCAAATCAAGAAATGCCCTCGTTGACTTGGGGGTGTAGCTAGGAGTAGCTACTCCTCATCATCTTCGTCATCCATCCTCTAATAGCCTCCTCCGTAGCTAGAGCCGGCGCCACCATGGCTCGTACCAACTCCACCATAACCCAAACCACCTGCAAAGTAGTTAGGGTCTACATTCCCCCCATCCCACCAAAAGGAGCATCGGCCCCATAACCATGGACCGAAGAGTAGTCCACGTAAGTACCATAGGCTCCGGGGGTCGAATATCCTCCTTGGGGGTATTGGAACTAGTCGAGAACAAGAGCCTCGGGGGGGATAGCCCCTCGGCGTACATAATCATCATACATGGGGTAAAAACCCCTCCCGAGGTTCCTCTCCACGTGCCCAACCCTCCTATCTAGAGAACCTACTCTAGAGTCTAGGTTTTGCACCATACCCTCTACTCTCCCCTGTCCCCTCTCAATCCTGTCAAGTTGGCTCCTAAAAGCCGAAGTCATATGGGGCATGGGGGTCAATGTTGTAAACAACGGAGGAGGTAGGGATGTCATATGTGTAGGGTTGGGGTGGTGGTTGGAATTGAGGTGATGGGTGGGGTGGTGGTGAATGGTGAGCCTCCTGAGCCTCTCCTTGACCGTCTAACTCAAAGGTGTATGAAGGCTTTTCCTTCTCAAATTTGGTCAAGGAGGGGTTGGGTAGCTTAAAAGCTTGGTCTCTCCTACCCGACTCTCGGTGGACTATCCACCATGTCTCACCTCCCATGGGTTGAACCCAGTTAAGACCTCCTAGGTAAGCTAGGTCCATAAGGGTAGAACCCTCGACTTTCCTATGGCCGGTCGGGGTCCAACCTAGGTGTTTTACCGCTATGTGGGAAACCAACCCCCAAAATAGATAGGTGCCCTAGACCTACCCCCCTCGGCCGCATTGGCCGCCCTTTGGATGTGTTGGGCTATCCTATGCGGAATGTTTGATTTTTCTGCACTAGGGATCATGTAGGAGGCCAACAACTCAAGCTCATCCCTCCTAACATTTGCCGGCTCGTACCTCCCAAAGATTGTGAGGCCGACAAACCTTTGCCAAAACTTTAGGACGGGATGTTGCATCCACGTCCCCTTGGCATGTTGGAGGTTGGTTAAACCCTCCCCGATGAGTCTTCTATAGACCACGGCAATGTGGTCTTGAGAGGGTCCAATGGGTTTATCCGATTTTTGCTCAAACAATTTTCCAAATTCTTTTAAAGTCAAACGCACATCATTGTCAAGCAATCGGAATTGAACATGAGTAATCAAAGTGATGAGTGTCATTAATGGCACTCATTTGGCCTCTTTAAGGATGATTTTCATGCTATTTTATAGCCCTTTTCCTTAGTTTTTCCCTAGTTTTGTTCTTTATTTCGTTAGTTTGTGCTTTCCATAGTAAGTTTCCTTGTTTTGTGCATTTCTTTGTTTAATTGTTCTTTTTCCTTTTATTTGTTTGTTTTCGTTTGTTTGTAGGTTATGATCGCATTTCCAAGGATTTTCGAGCCTTTCTCTCATATTTCTCGTCAATTTGGATTCCTCATGTTCACCTTTTGGAACTTCAAGTTTGAAGGAACGCGAAGAGCAAGTCAAGAGATCGGTGCACATATGTGGTGGGGGCGTCATCTTTTCCATGAACCGACCAAAATGGCCTTTTCAAGACTGCCTACCTTAGTGTTCATCATCATCATAAAGACGAGCGCACGAGGATGAGCTTGGACGAAGAAGAGGGGGGCTCCCCTACTGTCAGGTGCGAGCGCGCACGAGGGTGGTGCGGCCGCGCACCTGGGTGGAGCAGGCGCGCCTAGTGCGGGTGCGGGCGTGCCTGCCAGGGCCCTTATTTCGTACCCTTTTTGTCGCGGCCGCGCCTCTCCTCTGTTGCGACCGCGCCTTCCGGGGTTTCTTTTGGGACGATCTAACTAACTCTTCTTTTGTATCTTTCCTATATGTAGTTTTTCCTTCTATTTTAAGAGAGGAAAAAATTAGAAGAGAATCAGCATCAGTATTAGAATAGAAATAGAGTTAGTTTTAGATTTTTAGAGAGAGAAACTCTAGATTTTTAGAGAGAGAATTTCATGGTGGATTGTTATTGATTGAAGATTTCTCCATTCCTTTGATCTTTTATCAAGTTTGTAAGGATTCTTTTTCTTTAATTCAATCTTTAGTTTGATCTTTAGTTTTTTGTTGAATATTCAAGTTTAATTGAAGTTTGATTGATTTGTGATTTGATTCGATCTTGTTTAATTTGATCATGATGAATTTGTTGTTGTTTAGCCTTGTTTTGATCTTGATTTCAATGGCTAGTGAGTAGTTTGATTGCTAGGGTAATGGTAAAGCATATATGAGTAATGGATTGATTTTAATTTGGGGAAATTGATGAAGTTGATGATGTGATTAAATTGGTTAATTGATTATGTGCATGTGTGTGTTTGATTTAGGTTTGATCACCCTAGTTATTCACACTAGATTGCATTGTAGGTTCACATTGATATAGACCATTGATTTGTGGCTTTCATTTAACGATTGAGGTGTCTTGTGACGTTCCTAGCTAGAGTTTATCGTAGTTGACGCTAGTTAGACCTCTAGGAAAATAGCTTGATATGCTCTTTTGGTTTCATGATTTGTTTTCCCTCGCATCACTCGACTTAGTCAATTATTTCCCAATTAGCGAAATCCGTTACAAGTATATGTGGATCCCGAGCCCTAGTATTTATTACATTTGTCCAAACCTAGCTTGTCTAGTTGTTTAGCATTCACACCCTTACCTAACCTTTCTGGAATAGTTGACTTGGCAATATAAGATTGCTATCCATTCCTTAGTGGTTCGACCCTCGACTTACCATTATACTTGTATAAGGGTGTGTTGAGAGATTACAAATTTTGTTTGGCCTTGGGTAGGGGTTAGTTTCAACGACCTAGTCTCGACCCTCGTCAAAAATACAAAAAGATTTTCCTTCTTTCTTTTTGGCTACATTTGTAGCCGTGTTACTAATAATTTTGTTTGAGATTGTGTGTGCAAGTGAACATGGGAGAAGCTCATAAAGTGACATTGAAGGAGTTAGTCACTCCGGGTGCTTACAAATATGAGAGTGGGATTGTTCCATTGTTGGTTCCGGATAGCGATTTTGAAATCAAACTAGCTATGATTACCTTGATCAAGAGGAAACAATTCAGTGGTGCAAAAAGTGAAAATCCTCTCAATCATCTCAAAGATTTTGAGAAGTATTCTAATACAATTGTGGTAGCCGGAGTTGCTCAAGAGTATATTAGGCTCAAGTTGTTTCCCTTTTCTCTTATTGGAAGAGCTTTAGAGTGGTTGGACAAGGAGGTCAAACCAAGGTCCCTAAGGACATGGGATGAAGTTACCGAGTCTTTCTTATCTCGCTTTTTCCCACTAAAGAAAACGGCGGAATCTAGGGCTTTGATCCAAAATTTCAAGCAAGGGCCTAATGAGAGTCTCTATGAAGCATGGGAGAGGTATAAGGAGTATCAACGAGAGTGTCCACATCATGGAATTCCTACCTACCAAATTATACAAATCTTCTATGGTGGGTTGAGTTCTCAAGGAAGAGCAAGCTTATATGCCGGAGCCGGAGGCTCGATAATGAACAAAACGGAAGAAGAAGTGGTGGATGCAATAGATGAAGTGGTGAGACATTATATAATTGGCAAGAGGTGGAAAAGGAGTCAACTAGCAAGGGGTCCTCGATCGAACAATTGAATGCCATCAACGATTTGACCACTCTAATTTCGGACTTAGGGAAAGAGGTCGTATCCCTAAAGGCCAAGCTTGAGAGTCCTCCTTCGCAAGCTCCGATTCTTCCCTCCCAAAATAAGGGGAGAGGTACACCTTCTTACTCTAACACTTTTCCTTCTTCTTGTTGCATGATTAGAGAATGTCAGCCTTGTGATTTATGTGGAATGAATGATCATGATGCTTTTATGTGCACCAATTTTCCTTGTGAAGAATGTGATGGAATTGAAAATGAGCATGTGAATTACATTGGTAACCATAATTTTGAACCTAGATTTGAGGTTCAAAGAAATGTTGGAAATAGGAATTATCACAACCAAGAGAACTATGATATATATAATCAAAGTGGTGGTTGTAGAAATCATGTATTCCAAGAGATCCGTGGTGGCTATAACAATGATGGTTATAATGGTCAAAGTCACGACCGAGGGCATGGGGATCATAACCGAGGTTATGGTAACCATAGTCAACATCAGATCCAAAATCAAGCTAAGGGTAATTGGAATAATCAAAGTAGGGGAAATTTTCAACCTAATGTTCAAAGAGGTACCCCACTTGGATCCATTCCAAATACTCAAGGCCCAAGTGATAATTTCCATGATCAACCATTTTCTTCTAGGAGTTTCTTGGAAGAGGTTTTTGAGAAACAAGCCAATTTGATAGAATCTTACATGGCCGTGAATGATGAGAAGTTTAATGACATGTTGATTCAAAATAAGGAGCTAGGAAACCGATTTTCTAAATTGGCTAGTGACTTTAAGGAATTTAAGAATTCTTCTTCTTCTTTGACTTCATTGAACTTAGATTCTAAGAACTCTATTGATGCAATTGTCACTAGGAATGGTAGGGTCCTTGAGAGTGGAGTACCTAAGAACAGTGATGCTAGAGAGAGTACTAGCAAGAGCCCTATTGAGATTGAGGGAGATGAGGGTCCCATAATTGAGAAAATTGAGGAGGAACAAGTAGAAAGAGTGAAAGAGAAAAAGAAAGAACTTTACAAGCCCAAGCTCCCTTATCCCCAAAAGTATAATAGGCACAAATTGGATGAGCAATTTGGAAAATTCATAGAGATGCTTAAGCAACTTCATCTTACTCTTTCTTTCACCGATGTGGTAGAACAAATTCCAAACTATGCTAAGTTCCTTAAAGAAATTTTTAGTGGAAAGAGGACATGTGATATGGCGAAGACGGTTACCCTAACCGAGAATTGTAGTGCAATCCTAATGAATAAGATGTCACCTAAGTTTAAGGATCCCGGAAATTTCTCTGTCCCTTGTACTATTAAGAAGATGCAATTTGATAATGCCTTATGTGATTTAGGAGCTAGTGTTAGCCTTATGCCATATTCGGTCTATGAAAGACTAGATCTAGGGGAACTTTTACCTTCCAAGATTACATTGCAAGTAGCCGATACGTCGATCAAGATCCCAAAAGGTAAGGTAGAAGATGTTCCCTTGATGGTGGGGAAATTTGTCATTCCGGTAGATTTTGTTGTATTGGATATGGATGAAGATTCTACTATCCCTATCATCTTAGGTAGACCATTCCTTGCTACATCGGGGGCTATGATTGACGTCAAGAGTGCTAAGATAACTCTTAAGATATGAGAGGAGGTAGTTGAGTTTGATTTGAATGAAGGTATGAAATATCCCTCTTCTTCCTTTGAAAATTGCATGAGTGTTGAAGTTCTTGATAATATTGTGCAATCCATGCATGAGAAATTGCTCACATATAATGATCCTCTTGAGTGTGTTTTGTTGAACAACGAAAAGATAGGCGCTCCTAGGAAGAAAGTAAAATTGTATGAAGATTTGCTTGATGGAAGCATTGAAGGAAGTGATGAACAAATTTGCATGGGGATCTCAAATCAAGATGCTTTACAAGTAGCCTTGACCAAAGAAGGTAAAGGTGTGCCTATGGTAGACCTCAAACCTCTACCATCACACCTTAGGTATGAATTCCTAGGCCCAAATTCTACTTATCTCGTAATTGTTAGTGCATCCTTGAGTGAGAGCTAAGCTCAAGCTCTATGTGATGTTTTGAGAAAGCACCACGGTGCTTTGGGCTATACCATTGATGATCTCAAAGGTATAAGCCCCGCTTTGTGTACGTATTATATAACGCTTGAGGAAGGCACCCTTTCCTCTATTGAATGACAACGTAAGCTATATCCCCAAATGGGGGAGGTAGTGAAGAAAGAGATCACCAAGCTTTTGGATGCGGGAATCATATTCCCCATCTTAAGCTCTACGTGGTTCTCTCCCGTTCATGTCGTTCAAAGAAAGGGGGTATGACCGTAGTCAAGAATGAGAAAGGTGAGCTCATTCCGACTAGAACGGTCACCGGTTAGCGTATGTGTATAGACTATATACGTCTAAACACATCCACCAAGAAGGATCACTTTCCTCTCTCTCGGGTCTACTTGTTTTGGATGATTGGTCGCATTTCTATGCTTTAGATTTGCTTAGGAATAAGTTTAGGACCAAAGGAAAAAGTTATTTAGTTGCAGATGATTTGCGGTTCGCGTGTTGTTTCTGATAATGGTGAGGGGACCTCTCAGTCTACCCCTTACATAGTGCCGAGTGAGACCGACTCGGCTACCCCCCCCCCCCCTTCTTGCTTGATTTTCTCTAGTCCTGCTTTTTCATGCTTTATTGTTAGTTTTAGCTTGGGGGGGTAGCTCATGGTAAGCTTGGGGGTGCTTTTTATATTTGTTTGTGCTTTACATGATTCCCCCTTGCTTTGATGGTTCTCTATGGCTTTGTGTTCGGATTTCATTTATGCTGCTATCTGTTGATGATGATATTTTTCTTCTGATGATTTCTGCTTTTATTCAGCCGATGATGTGTGATATCTGTTTGTCTTATCGATGATTTTCTGATGATGTTTTTCTATCTCTGATTTTTCGCCTATATTTTGATTTCTTTTATTTTCTTATCTTTTGGTTTTGTTTAGAAGTTACTAACATTTTTCTTTGTATATAGTTTTCTTTATTTCTTTTGCTCTCTTGCGGCTATGATTGTCCTGCTTCTATTTTGGAGTTTTATTCGGTGACTCTTATATTCACTCTTTATTCTCGGCTAAGCATGGATTATCCGGTGAGATCTTTCGTTTTTATTTCTTTTATTTTCTTGGTTGCTTAGATTAGGATTAGTATAGGGGAGATGAATGGTTCGAGGATGTATGTGTTTAACACCTTGCGTGTTTGGGATCTTTTGGTGTTGTTGCCATTAGATCACTTGTATTACGATTGGGATTTATGTGTTACATGTGCATTCTTGTTCTTTTCTTCATTTCTCTCTTCTCCTATTTCTTTGTTCTTCCTTTTTCCTTTATTTTTCTTTTCTTTATCTTCATCTTACTTTGTTTGTAGTTTTGAGGCTTTTTCTTTTATTCTCTTTTATGATTTGGACTCCATATCACTTGAATTTTGCCTTTGAATGATTCATTTCCTAAATAATAGAGGTTTGCACAATTTAAGATTATGTTCGATTGATTTAAGAAATAATTTATGCTAAGGTAGTTGGTTAGAACTAAGAGGATCATGAAGCCGGATTCTACTTGTTTGTGGCTTATTGGTAGTTGCTCCCTATGGTTGATTTGATGCTAATAGTGAGTTTTTGCTACATCCGCGTGAGGTTCATTATTTTCCAAGCCTTCTACATATATTTGCATGAGCGGCATGGATCCTTGACTTTTGCAAACCTAATCTTGAAACTTGACTCGTAGTTCTTGAATCCGAGATCGAACCATTTAGGGAGGACAAAGACATCTTTTCGGGGTGGTATTTTTTGTTTTTCTAGGAATTGTTCTTTTCAATTTTTGTTCCTTTTGGGTTTACATTTGCCTTCTTGCTTACCATTTGAGCCTTTTCCCTTCTTTTCAAGCCACATCTTTAGATTCTTAAGCCTTTTGTTTCTTTTTGTTCCATTTTTGGTTTTTCTGAAGCACATGGTCATATTTTGGAGATTGTGGTGTATAAGTTTGGTTATTGGTTCGAAAATGAAAGCAAGTTCGTGTTTTGTGTATATTTTGTGAAAAATGGCAAGTGAATAAATGAAAGAGTCGTCCAATATAAAAAGGCAAGGACAAAGGAAGTGCAAAGTTCAAAAGTCGTCCAAAGTTAAAAGAGGCAAGGACAAAGCATTACAATAAGATAAAAAAAAAGTGAGAAATGAAAATCCAAAAATATTTTGATTATTCTTTTCTCCTTCTATGCATTGAGGACAATGCTTCATTTTAGCTTAGGGGAGGAGCATTTACGCCTTTTGTGTATATGTTTGTGAATGTAGTTTTCAATAAGCTTAGGGATATAAGGTGTATTTTTGTTTGGTTTGGTGACTACTTGATTGTGATCCTAAGAATTGGACATTCTTTTGCTTCATTGATTAGGAAAACTACCGATTTCAAATTTCTAGCCTACCTACACCCTTTCACGCCCTTGCATTACAACCTTTGGGAAAGCCCTTTTGACCTAAGTGGTGTTGGGGTTTGGTGAGTCCGACTCACCGCGGAAACAAACCCCGACCCAAGGAACCACTCGCAATAATTAAAATCATAAACCATAAATAAATAATTACTAAGAAAAGATAACGAGTCTTACCCTCGAAGCGAGCTTCGCCCAAAAACCGGGGCTCTTACTTGAAAGCTACGAGCACGTCAAGCGTCGCGCCTCTAACGGTATCCACCCGCAATAGAGCGAACAAAACTTTAAGGTCTACTACCTGGGGGTTAGCGAGGTCCGACCAAAACCCGAGTGTTATATGAGTTTAAGAGTTTTTCCAATATTATGGAATGCTCTTTTTAACTCCCACTCAAGCATTATTTCCTATACCCAAAGTTGGGTATTTATAGGGAATGATGGAGTATGAAAATCTCTCCCATCAATGTGGGACAATGAGATTTTCTCATTTTATTTTAAAGCTAAAATAAAATTATTAAGCAAACTAGTAATAAATCAACAAGTGTCAAGCATACATGAGAGAGTAGGTGAGGACCACTTGGAGATGGGGACCAAACTTGCTCCCCACTCTCTCCCTCACCTTGTGCCACATGGAAACCCACTTGCTCCCAACCTTCCCCTTATACACGGCCCTATGGCCCGAGCCAAGCCACGAGCCAAGCCCGAGCCCAGCCCGAGCCCGGCCCGCAACCAGCCCGCACCAGCTGCTGCTGTGGCGCGGCTGTTGCTGTGGCATGGTGCGGCTGAGGCTGCTGCCGTGGTGCGGCACGGCTGCTGCTGTGCCTAGCCGTGGCTGCAGCACGGTGCGCCGGCTCGTCTTGCCCCTAGCATACGGATGCTCGGGGCACTCCGATGCTAGGGTATTTTCGGGAATATTGTTTATTTATTATTATTTTGCGTGTCTCGTCTTTTATTATTTAGACTCGAATTCCGACGATCGGTTTCGACGCTCTAAGCTCGAATTACCGACGTCTAATTATTTAACACTCGGGCGACGAATTAATTTCTTCCGAATTAATTCGTCGAGTTGGTTCGCATATATTAGCTTGGGTGTGACCCGAAGGGTTCAGTCAAGATTAAGCTGTAATATTAATTATATTAATATTACTGATCGGAAGCGGCCTCCACCCAGGCATTCCGATCACTTGACCTTACTGAATATATTAGCTTTCTAATAATTCTGAACCCGCTATCAGAATAATACACTTGTTCGAAGGACACTATTCCTTTCAATCTCCCACTTGTCCTTCCGGACAAGTGTGCATTTAGTGTATAGCCCTTATCCTATGTCTCTTCATGAACTACAAAGTAAGATTACTAGTCATCTCTGTTACGTCCAGAAGTGTTTCTCGAAATCCGAGTTTGTCTGTCAATAAGCAGATGATTTCTAAAATCCATCTGAGCACGACCATGCATTTTTCACAGTCTCGCTCTTCGAGAGGCCTTGTAAACAACAAGACATGTTCCATATTGTTAGTAGGGGGACATTTCCAGTCTTGTAATGTAGCTTCTCTTACTAAGAGGACTCACCCGCCCAATATCTGTCTTTATAATCCCCAGTTACGGCGAACGTTTGGCGGATACCAAAGCGGATCAGTACACAAACAAGAGATCTCCCACTACTCATGGTCAAAGGAAAAGAGTTCCGATAGTAATAATGAGAAAATACTTATGATGATTTTAAATCTCTTAAAGTATCCTCATAGGTCGATCCAGTATGGTTCTAAACCAATACCTGTGCAAATGATTTATATCCTCATAGCACAAGAAACGGTGCTATAAATCATACTACACACTAATCTCTGATGGTCATCAATCGTCCACAAAATATGACCTTGATTAGGGATAATTTTCGATTAAAATATTCAATGTTCACTTTAATAGGTGTTTCTTTATCCAAGCCATTGACTTGATACCCTATTTTGAATATTTATTAAAATCGAATGGACTCATTATTTAATTCTAAACCACAATTAAATAGTTTTGTGGAATATTTAGAAATATTTTATTCCACTATGAAACTTCAATGTTTCATCTTATGATAAATGGTTTTTCCCAAATGTTTAAAGAGTAATACTTTGCATAAAACATTCATAGAAATCACACCCATATTTGATATGCTTGATTTCTTTCATGCAATTATGA